TAGAAACTCATTTTAAAAGCGGATATTTTAGAGTTATATTTTCACCCAGGAGATGTGTTTACTGCAGCACTGATATGTCCCTTATGGGTCCTTCCAGTGAAATATGATAGATTTAATACATAATCCAGAAGTTTACAATATTACAAATTTCCAAAAACTACTTAAAAAATACACTGAATATTTCTAAACATTTTACTTCTCTGTTAAGGATCAAATAATTAAGGATCAAATAAACGTTATTTTTTCAAGAACCTCATAAGACCAATAAGAGGATTTGTGACACTAAGGTTCAAAATTTTAAAATTTGGTGATGGTGATGGACCAAAAAAAGAAAAAAAATTGATGTTCAATCTAAATTATAATTATGAAATTGTTGTCTCATGTACAGAGTGAACAAAATGGGGAAAAAGACAAAACTATCTTTAAAATTTTCCTTTGTTATTCAGTCCTAATTTATTCCTCCCGTTCTCTGAAATTCAAACTTACCCGGGTCCAATCCATGGTAGAAAACAGTAAACTTTCTCATTCAAACTTTTACATTAAGAAAATGTAAATAAGCCCTGTTAAAACTACAAGTTCTATCAGGGGTGTTTATTTTTGTCATGTTGAAGAAATCACTAACAGTGCACCATCTTTCATATTTGACCTTGAAACAGGTTTGGATTCATGTAGTTTTTGAATGTTGAATTCTTATCAAAAATCTTTAATTTTGATTAAAAACTGTGTATGACATAAAGATATATTAATTTCATATTTGTTAATGAGTCCTCAGATATCAGTGCGAATAGTAAGTAGTTCAACTTAAAACAGGGGTGTATATAATACTAGCTTGGAAACCCAGCATGGCCATGGGTTACTCCTGCTGTTACATGCACTTGGTTTTAATTTGCGAATTTAACTTTTTTCCAATTAAAGTCGACCTGCTCAATTTTGGAGCTCAAAACCAAGCTGAGAACATTTCTCGGGGTTCTCCCAAGTTCCACAAATAAAATTTGAGGCAAATCAGTCCAGGGGAATGAATTAGGATTAGACATACAAACAGAGATTACTACTCATTTATAGAGGAGATTAATAAGCAAGTGTCTAGTATTTAACCTGAATCTGTCCTGTAAAGAATAGATTCATACACTAAATCTGTCCTTAAATAATGGATCCAGATCCTGAATCTGTCCTTTAAAGAATGGATCCAGACCCTAAATCTGTCCTGTAAAGAATTGATCCAGGCCCTGAATCTATCCCATAAAGAATAGTAAAGAATTGATCCATATCCTGAATCTGTCCCGTAAAGAATTGATCCATATCCTGAATCTGTCCCATAAAGAATTGATTCAGATCCTGAATCTGTCCTGTAAAGAATTGATCCAGATCCTGAATCTTTCCTGTAAAGAATTGATCCAGAACCTGAATCTGTCCTGTAAACCAATGGATTCGGTCTCCTAAACTGTCTTGTGAAGAATCTGTCCTATGAAGAATCTGTCCTGTAAATAATGGATTTAGACCCTATTTCTGTCCTGTTAAGAATAAATCCAGATCTTAGATCTGTTCTATGAAGAATCTGTTCTATGAAGAATCTATCCTATGAAGAATCTGTCCTATGAAGAATGGATTTGGAGTAATCCTGAGTCCACTCTGTCAAGAAAAGAATGGTTCTATATCCTGAATCTGTTCAGTAAAGAATGGATCCAGAACCTGAATCCAGTTCCTGATTCAGCTTTAAATATTTTTTCAAGTTTTAGCATTTTTTTTTACTAATTTTCCCCCTTTTTCTAGTTAATTTACCATTAAAGGGACTGTCAATGTAATTTCAAGAAACCCTCAATGCACAAAAGATTTTTCTGTTTGGTATGATTTAGATAATAAATGTTAATAATTATGATTACTTTTAACAGTGGTTTTTCTACAAAAGTGACTTGCGAATTTCTACTGCAAGAAAACATTTAGGAATTATCAGAAATAACCACTTATAAACCTAGAAAAACGACAATACATTTACAGTTCCTATAAGAGGTAAGGAAAATTTCATTAACTCTTATTTGTTGCCACAATTTTTTAGGTGATATTTTTTCGGATGAATCCGGATCCATGGCATTAAAATTTTCGTATCCGGTTCTATGGATCCGAATCCATGGCTCTAAAATTTATCTTTGAAGTTAAGTTAATTTTTTTCGAGCAAAAAATGTCTTTATTTTGAAGAACCATATATGCCTCTGAAATACCGATTTAAAGCTTAATTATGCGTAAGAGAGAAGTTAATTTTCTTCAGTCAAAGAATGTCTTTATTTTGAAGAACCATATACGCCTCTGAAATTCAGAGTAAGAGCTTAATTATGCGTAAGAGAGATATTAATATTCTGTGTGTAAACAAGAAGGAGCAATAAATCCTTAGCTAATTACAATCTAAGCTTTAAATTTTAGAGTGGCGACATTTTAAATTAGTTCCAATTAGTGCAAACTTAGATCAATAACAATACAGATAGAACACTAGATGGCGTCTTATTAAGATTTAGGGGTTTTTCGTTCCCAATAACCCTGAGACAGAGGACAAAAGGATTTACGCGCATTCACACTCTTTCTGGCTTATAATTTAACGCTGCCTTCGAAAATCCATTTGTTAACTAAAGAAGATGATTTTCAAGCTTATGGTAAAACTTTGTGTTTTAAATGGACTTTACGCGTAACTTAAAGTGACTCCCCATGAATAGATAGCAAAGCCCGAGTTACAACGATTTTGATCGGAATATGGTTTCCGATCGTATTTTATTATAAGCAAGGAATGTGCTGTCACTTACTGAGAGAAACCGCAAATGAAAATAAACAGTAACATTGATATCTTATTTAGACGTTGTAAACCTTTGCATGGAGGGTCACTTAACATAACGTTTAGTCCCTTTAACACATTAAAACTCATTCTTACGGATCCCACGGTTTTATACCGAGGCAAGTCAAATAAGTTACATTTATCCTGGAAAAACCATGTTTTTAACTATTCATGTCGATTTTCTGCATATTTTTCTTTTAAAAGGCTATCTTTACTCAACTAATAATATTATAAAACCAAGCTAATATCATTCCCATGATTCTTCCAAGTTCCCCAATCAAAATTTAAGGCAAATCGGCCCAGAGGAGTTCAAGAGCTATGATCGGACAAACTCATCTAACCAACTTGATCAATCGATTTGAGTTGATTTTATTAGGGAAAGAAATTACATATTACAGTAAGTGATTTTTTGCACACACTTGGCTTAATTAAAAAAAACTTAGGATCCCCCTGACTTTTTTTTTAGGATTTTAGGATCCCCTTGACTTTTTTTAGGATTTTAGGATCCCCTTGACTTTTTTTAGGATTTTAGGATCCCCCTGACTTTTTCTTAGGATTTTAGGATCCCCCTGACTTTTTTTAGGATTTTAGGATCCTCCTGACTTTTTCTTAGGATTTTAGGACCCCCCTGACTTTTTAAGGATTTTAGGATCCCCCTGACTTTTTCTTAGGATTTTAGGATACCCTGACTTTTTTTAGGATTTTAGGATCCCCCTGACTTTTTATAGGATTTTAGGATCCCTCTGACTTTTACTTAGGATTTTAGGATCCCCCTGACTTTTTTTAGGATTTTAGGATCCTCCTGACTTTTTCTTAGGATTTTAGGATCCCCCTGACTTTTTAAGGATTTTAGGATCCCCCTGACTTTTTCTTAGGATTTTAGGATACCCTGACTTTTTCTTAGGATTTTAGGATCCCTTGACTTTTTTTTAGGATTTTAGGATCCCCCCGACTTTTTTAAGGATTTTAGGATCCCCCTGACTTTTTTAGGATTTCAGGATCCCCCTGACTTTTTTTTAGGATTTTAGGATCCCCCTGACTTTTTTAGGATTACAAAAATTTGAGTTTAAACTTATAAAAACAAGAATCTATTTTTAAATTTGGTTTGTTTCAATAAAAACTCTTCTTCACTATATGGATAAAAACGACGAGTGACGACCACAGGAAATGGATGAAAAGTTAGAAATTACTATACATAAAGGACGAAACTTGCTTTCCGTACAGGATGAAACTTACTGTACGTACAGGATGAAACTTACTCTGGGTAATGAATGAAACTTACTCTGCTTAAAGGATGAAACTAATTTTGCAAAAAGTATAAAACTTTCTCTGCATAAAGAAAAAAACTTACTCTGCGTCAAGGATGAAACTTACACTGGGTAAAGAATGAAACTTACTCTGCTTAAAGGATGAAACTTACTTTGTGAAAAGTATAAGACTATCTCTGCATAAAGAACGAAACATACTATGCGTAAAGGAAGATATATACTCTGCGTAAAGAATAATACTTTCTCTGCGTAAAGGATGAAACTTCTTCTGCGTAAAGAATGAAACTTTTTTTGTGTACAGAATAAAACTTACTCTGCATAAAAATTGAAACTTACTCTGCGTAAAGAATAAAAATTACTTTGCGTACAGAATGAAACTTACTCTGCATTAAGAATTAAACTTACTCTGCAAAAAGTATAAAACTTTCTCTGCGTAAAGGTTTAAACTTACTCTGCGTAAAGAATAGAACTTACTCTGCCTTAAAGATGACACTTATTCTGCGTAAAGAAGAAAACTTACTCTGTGTAAAGGTTTAAACTTACTCTGCGTAAATAATAAAACTTACTATGCGTAAAGAATAGAACTTACTACTCTGCGTAAGGGATGAAACTTACTCTGCATAAAGAATGAAACTTACTCTACTAAAAGGATGAAACATACTCTGTGTAAAGAATAAAACTTATTCTGCGTAAAGAATAAAACTTACTCTGCGTAAAGAATAAAACTTACTCTGAGCAAAGAATAAAAATTACTCTGCGTAAAGGATGAAACATACTCTGTGTATAGCATAAAACTTACTCTGCGTAAAGAATAAAACTTAATCTGCGTAAAGGCTGAAACTTAATCCGTGTATAGAATAAAACTTACTCTGTGTACAGAATAAAACTTTCTGTGCACAAAGAATGAAACTTACTCTGCGTAAAGGATGAGGGCCCAGGTAAAGAAAGCACACACCATTCCACAAATATCTTTTATACACCAGAACCTTCCCTTCATACACCTTAAAGGGATTCTTATCGTAAATATATACTTAAAGGGACTGTCTACGTAATTTACAACGACCCTCCATTTTTAAATCAAATCAAATCAAGTCAAATATGAGAATTTGCCACCAGCTTCCATTCCAGGTTCCAGAATGGAGTTAACAAAATTGCATAACCCTTTAAATGCCAGATTTACAACAATACCCTTGGAAGCTTTGTCTGATCAAGTATGAATTAGATATCAATGTTTTTGTTTCTTTCAACTGGTTTCATTTGCGGTTCCTTGGCGAAAGTGACTTGCATTTCTTGTTTGTGAGAAGCAATGGAGAAACTCACAAAAATAAACACGTTTCCAGTCAGACAAAACGATTGTATCTATCACATTTTCGATCAGATTAAAGTTTTAAGTGTACCGTTGCAAAAAGGACATTGCCTTCTTGAATTAAGCTTACAGTCCCTTTAATTGAAAAATGGATTAATTAATTGATTGGCAAATTAATTAATTTGTTGATTGGTTGATAAAGAAATTAACCTGTTATGAAGGTCTAGTGTAGTTGAGCCTCCGTCCGATTCCTCACTAAGAAAAAAAAACATGTTTCCCCTTTGCTTAAGATATCAAACAGCAATGCTAACAATCCATTTCATTTTGACGCGGATCCGGATCCTGGATCCACCCTTGAAAAAATGGATCCGGATCCAGGTCCTCAACACTTCTTTAGACTTACTGTTTTTTCGCTCATTCTTTTGCTTAAACTTAGTAAACCATTCAGAGATTTGCTAAACTTTTATTAGTTAAAAATTCAGATTTCAGTTTTTCGAGAAAAAAAGGTTTTTATTACAGCATTTGGTTGATGTTTTGCCTCGTGGATCCGGATCCGAGGATCCGCATATTTTTGCGGATCCGAGTCCAGGAAACCAAAATGTTGCGAATCCAATTCGTAAATCATTTCTGAAGCTATTGACTGTTTAAAACAATTTGCTCAGGTAAGGGTGCTTTAATATCGTCTTCCATTTCCAAAGTTTTAGAGGTTCCACTGTAGTATAAGAGTAGGGTATCGTCCAAAAATTAAAAAGTTTTTTTTTACTTTTTAAAATTTCCAGAAGCGTCCGAGATGTTAATAATATTTTTCAAGTTAGCATTTTCTATAAAATTGCATTTTTTACGTTGTATAAAATTTTTATTTTGACAAAAATATGTTTTTTTCTCGCTAAGTCTATTTGTCAAAAATCATCTGGAAAAATACGGGAAATTTTAATGTCGAGCTGTTCTTGTTTTAATGTTTGCATGCAGTTAGGAAAAAGAAAAATTTCCAAAATTCATTTTATTCAATATTTTTTCCCAAAAAACCCAAAACAGAAAAACGCAACAGAACTGAAAAATCCCACAATTACAAAATTACAAAATTACAAATTTTCGAAATTGCAAAATTGCAAAATTGCAAATTAGCAAAATAGCAAAATTGCAAAAGTACAAAATTATAAAATTTCCCCCCCTCGACCTTCCTTAAACCTTGTTTCTTCAAAACATAGATAACATTTCTTAAATTCCATTATTTAACGAAAAAGGAAAGGACTAATTGTCTGATGAAAAACTAAACTATTCTTTTGATGTTTTTTCTTTAAAAAGTTGTTTATTTTCGTTGGGAAAACACTAAAAATACTTACAAAACATGAACAAGATCTACCAAAAAAAATCAAGTTTTAAAACTATTATAAATTATCAATTTACAGTTAGAAACAAAGGTCTAAAGGTACTTTTTTAAATGGAGGGTCACATCAAATTATGTCGAAAGTCCCCCCAACCAGAATGTGTAACCTTGTTTACATATTTGGAACTAAAGAAAAAACATGATGATGAATGATGGAACTCTGAGGTAAATGTTTACTTTACCCCCCCC